GAATTATAATTGAAGTTCTACTTATTTCGGTTTATGGGAATATAAGAAACACTGTGAAACTCTAGATCTAATCTGTTTAAGCTAAGTACAAACTATATTTAATCTTATGAAAAATGTTCAATCTTAAAATGAATAAAAAAATTCATATTTTTTCACCTTAGGTCGGTAACTTGGATTTTTTCTAAGAAACCTATTAAATCATAATGGTTCTTTTGAAATCATAAACCTTTTTTATGACTTTTAAATCAAGAACTAAAGTACATAAAGACAGCAACTAAGGTCAGGCGATTTTGTCTTATAAGAGAAAAAACTTAAACTAAACAATAAATGATAAGAATAAAAAAACCTTAAAAAAGAGGAAACTTCAGAAAAAACATTTAAATTTTAATTCTTGAGTCTTCTCTCGACACATGTAAAGCAACAACAGCAATGACGAATAAAACACACGTTTGAGACTATCATCATCAGCAATAAAAACAACAACAATAGTATCATACACACTTTAAAAAAACCTCTAGTATAAACATAAACAGAGGGGTATCACCTCTTATAATCTTTTGTGATAAGAACTAACCTGGCAAAAGGGAAAACATGAAAAGGAGAGAGAGAGAGTGTGCGAGTAAATTTTAAATTTTGTGGAATAAGGTGAGCTGGGCCAAGACAGTGAGAGAGAGAGAGGCAAGGAAAAACAAATACACAATATAAACAAGCAAAAGAGTGTGTGACGTGAATTTTATTTTGTCATGAAAAATCTTAATTTTCTGCTTGTTATTGTTGTTGAATATAAATAAACACAATACAGTTAAATAAAATAAAAACACATATAAGAAATTGATAAGAATGTATAAAAAGCAAAAAATACAAATAACTAAAGATGATTTAAATTGAAATCCGGTCTCGTATAAATTTTGCTAGAGTCGGGTATTTATAGAAAAGTTAAATAACCCCTTGTACTAAAAGTTCATATTTGCCTTAAGTACACTTTTACACAATTGTTTATTTGTATTGGTTCCGTGATAACCTTGCACGCAAAGTGCAAGTCTCTAAAAACCAACAAAAACAACAAAATATATATGTAAATAATTAATTGGTCAAGGCCAATGTCAGCTGATGAAAGTCTTATATATTGTTTTAGAATTAAGAGTAAATCACATACTAAAGAGATTAAGTACTTCGATTCAGACATTCTGTATTGATAATATTAATTGCTAATAGCTATAGTATTTAGTCATAACCATTTAAAAATAATCGGTACTCTATTATTTAATGTCTCACATAAACAAACAAATTATTTAAAACGATAATTGTACTCAATGATCTTCCATCAGTTTGCCAGATCACCTTGTGACCATTTATAATAATCAACATATTCTGTCCGAAATATTGCGTGAATGGTTGGCTTTATAAAATAGGATATGTTGATAGTTCAGTAACATTTTATAATACGTTAGCATGGTCATTGTGATCTTCATTCAAATTTTACATGTTGTATGACGATCAAGATCAGTTAAAACATTGATATTTGATAGTTCTTCTTGTAGACATATTTATAAGAGATGTTCTTCGTGTATACAACATCTGTAATAATTGTTTCGTGCGCAGTACATGCGATCTGATTTGTGTCCAATCATACAGTGTAAGTATACATATACGAAGCCTTATCGATTTTTCCGTAAAAGCAGACCCTACAGCCCGAAGAATATAAAATAATCTGTTAATTGACAATTTAATTTTCCGGAATGTCTGCAACACAGTTGGTACAGATAGTATATTGTCACGTTCGAGATCAGAACATTGAGGTATGTAAAACTGTTTATGTGAATATTAATGATCGACGTCTCGGGATTTAGTTCTCTAATGTCTCTCGTAGTCGTATAAATAGCGATAATATCAGTGTAGGGATTAGGAAATGTGATGCAGACCATGAATTTGATGAAGACAGTTTTTGGACCTTTGATCTTCCATCAGTTTCGTCATTTTTGGCGAGTTTCCCAAAATAAGTAGTATAGTAACGCTGCTGACACAATAGACTTAACTCGATCCTCAATAAAAACACGTAACAAAGATTTTTCCAATACGATTGATCCACACAATGAATGACACTTTGCCTGGATTAATTACTCCGTTGGAGAATATTCAAAGCGAGAGGTCAAAGGTCTCAATATCCAAAATTCCCATCAACAATTTGCAATTTCTTAAATAATCATCAATAATTGTTTGGTAGAAGCAAGATCTCTTCAATCCCTTTATATAAGCTCTCACTTTTATTGCTATTAATTATTTCCAATTGGATCCGCAAATACTACTATCAAATAATATTTCTTTGCCTTATTATAGTATCAGGATTCCATGATTTTATCATCTCTTTAGTAGAATCCTTTTCTTAACAAATTAAATTGTGTATATTTCATTTTGCTACAGGATTCATGCCATTGATTTAAACATTCCTTTTTGACGCTATTTCTATAATTAGGTATTCATGATATCCGTTAATTACTTTTCTTATTACTATTCATAACCTTCTTCCAATATTTCCAATACCAGTTATAGAGATAGACTTCAGTTCAGATGTTCCCATGATTTTCTATGCACTACAAAAATGACGGAACGTACATCACTGAGTCCTTATAATAGTTCCATACATCCATTGTTGCATATATAAATTTAGTCTATTAATTTACACATTTTTGCTCCAAGCCTCTATATATAAAGGCACTATAAAGTGTGCAGTACAGATATATTTTTCTTACATTGACTAATTAGAAACACTTCACTTCTGTATCCGTTTTAAGCATAACATCCTTTATGATCATGGATAAATAACCTACTTTCTCCAATATCACAATGTTTTGAAATTACAAACGAGTATGTTACAATGTTATGTTAAACAGATCCTCCATCAAATGTTTATCATGTCTCAATATGTGACCAACTCTTCCATTAGTAAAATGAATGTAGTAACTAGTTTTTTACCTCTACATTTCTCCATAATAAATTAGTTCAAGTACATTATTTGCAAAGTTTTCTTAGTGTTTGAAGATCTGTGTTGATAGTTTGAATAGAATGTGTTGATAGATCAGTAAATGGTAATTGGTCTTTGTGATATTTATTCATATATAATTCTCCACGTTTTATGTAGATTAAGATTGATTAAAACAATTTTTGATAGTTTTTCTTATTATCATATTGATCATATAAATTTGTATATAATACTCCATGTTGAATAACGATCAAGATCACTGAAAACAATGATATTTGAAAGTACTTCTTATAGAGCAGAGTATCATCATTCATTACTGATATTTGTATATATGTATGTATGTAAGACTCCATGTTGAATGACGATCAGGATCAGTGAAAACAAGAATATTTGTTAGTTTATCATATCGAGAGGTGTAGTTATATAAAAGGTGTTGTACTAATTCTTATGCGTTTAAGAAACTTATACAATAACTGTTACGTGGTTACTCCATTCGATCTGATATGTTTCCAATCATATAGTGTAACTTACATATGGGCATTTCCACCGAAAAGTATATTTGACACGTTACGCACATTAATTGACAATATCTTATCTTTTAATTGGTTCTTTCTTTTTCTTATGTATAGAGCTATTAGAGCTCTACATAAAAATATTAATAATTTAAATATATATAAATATTTTCCCTAGATATAGGCAGTTAATGGTGCGTGACGTGATGTGACAAAATTATACTTTTCGGTCGAAATGCCCATATACGAATTTTTATCAAGGTTTAACAGAGATCCTTTTCTGATGTAATTTATCTGTGATTCCAATAAACGTAGATTGCTTAAATCTATATGATTTAACTACGACTAATTCATACTATATAGTGATCCATATAAACACCTCATTGTCATTATTTTTACAAGATCGCCTTGTGACATTTATAACAATTCAGCATATTTTGTTCCAAAATAAAACTCGTTTGATATATAAAATAGTTCATGTTGATAGTTCAGCAACATCTTATTCTGCAACGATCTCAAGATCGGTAAAAACATTTGAAAGTTCTTCTTATAGAGCAGAGTATCACCATTCAAATTTGTATATAATTCTCTATGTTGAATGACGATCAAGATCAGTAAAAATAATGATATTTGCATGTTCTTCTTTAAGAGCGGATTAGGCACTAAAGCAACTTCTGTTATAGTATCCGATATATTTGAATTCATACAGTTTAAGTATGCATATACGAAGCCTTATCGAATTTCAAAAAACAAAGCCACAATCGTTCACCTGAGTTTCGATTTGTTGATCGTGTTTGGTAGAACGGCTAGGGAAATATGAAAAGAATTCTCGTCTAAGTTGGAACAGGGAGGGAATGCAACTGAGAACATATTTCAACCTTAGTGTGTGGGAAGTGGGAACATTGAGATATTTACGTAGATTATATTAGCCAACGTCTTGGGTTTTAGTACTCTGACGTACATATTTTTGAGAAAGTATGTGAAAATCCGTGAAGGTGTTAGGCAATCTGATGGAGAGAAAGCTCATCGGATAAAATTTCTAAGGTAGTTCCCATAACTGTTGTTGCAGCAGGAGATCTTCAGATCGAGAACAATATTTGCAATGATAATAATGTCGGCTAATTTTGTTTATATCTTGTTACATTTAATATAAAACTTTGCAGGAAATCTTCAGATCGAGACCAATATTTGCAATGATAATAGTGTCGGCTAATTTTGTTTATATCTTGTTACATTAGATATAAACCTTTGGAGATGTTAGCTACAAGTAAATACACTGAACTCCTATGTCTATTCTGTGTTGTTATTTCCATTCGGTGTATAAATCAGGATGCAATGTTGAAGTATTCCAAACTTTTTTGATGACAATAATTTTAAGTGTTATGGACTAATTCGCTTTACAACATTTTTTCACATAGTATAAAGATTTAAAATTTCAACTACAAATCGATAACCACAATTTAATTTAAATATTTATGATTAATAATTAATTCTTAGTTAAAACTTACCTTTAAAAAGTCTGAAGTATTAAAAACTTGTATCCGCAATGTTTGAAAAAACAATGAAATTTTATACAATTGATGAAATAAAAATTTAAAATTTTTAACAAAACAAAACCTTTTATCTTTTTATAAGTAAAATATTTATTAAGTAGGTATTTTTAAAATTTTTTTTTAAATCAAAACTGTAGACACACAAATTTGTATTTGATTTAGAAATTTTCTTGTTTTATTTGATTTTTTCTTTTATATTTTACTATTTCTTGACTTTTTGTGAAAACTTTTCTCTTATTTAGTTAAACATTCTTTTGGATTCTATTTTTTTAGTATTTTTCTTTGACGTTTATTTTTTTGTATTTTACTTTTTTTTAGTGAAAAACGAATTTTTTTAATGGAAAGTTGTTTTGTTGTTTTCTTACACGTTGTTTTTGTATTTTGTTTTTATTATTTCTGGGTAGATTTTTGAATTGACATGCAGAGCTATTTTCATGTTTTTGTTATTGTTGTTGTTGAACTCATTTACTTTATGCAAGTATTCGGAAAACTTTTCTTTTTTTTTTGGGAGGTTATTGATGTTTTTGCTTTCAAAATAGAAAATACGCGCAATCGAACTACTGCGGGTCTCTGCTGAAAATGTTGTTGTTTCTGTTCAACATAGATGTCAAAAACATAAACGAGCGAAACGACTCAAAAAAGCGAAATGAAAAATTCTTTTAAATAGAACGTTTAATTTTTTATTATGTATTTTGATTTGTTTTATTTGTACATATGTATAATGTAAAAATGCAAAAACCAAAAATAAATATTTTTTATACACTCACAAAAATAAATCAATGTTAAGGCAGAACTCACTATTTTTGGTTTATTTGTTTATTTATAGATAGATAGATGTTTTTGTTGTTATTGTAGGAATACACTTGATTTTCACCGAAACAATTTTTATTTAAATATTTCGAGCGAGTGAATATAATCGTTTAAGCACAAATATTATTAAATGGGAAAAAACACAATTTACCGCCGCGACAGCCGCAGTTGTACACTTCAGCCTACAAAGTTTCGTTATGAACTGTTTTGTACCTCAAACGATTGGTTGGTCAAAAAGCAAGCACAGACAAGCACAAAGTCAAAAAAGCAAAACAAAACAGCAAAACAACAACAAAAAACAGTAGTTTTGTTTAGTTGTTATTGAATGGATGAGTTTAGTTTTGTTATTGTTTTTGTCTACACGTTGTGATTTTTTTTACTGCTACTGCTTCTTCTTCTTTATCATTTTCTACTACTACATAGTACATACTTCTCTTCCATTGACTTTAGTTTCTAAATAATTGTTTATTTGTTTTTGTATGTATGTAAACAAGACAACTACAACAACAAGAAGAACAACTACTTGACAAGATATCAACTATTTTACAAGTTTTAATGTTGTTGTTGTTGTTGCTGTACAAGCCGCTTAAAGATTTTTCCAGTAAAAAACTATATAAAAAAAGAAACTGCTTTAAATTAAATTAAATATAAAATACTCACACCACATTTATTTTATTTAATAAAATTTACTCTCTTTTAATCCAACACGAAGAAATATAAAAACAAACACAAATAATTATATGCAGTTTTGTTTGTGCTGTTATCTAAAATATACACAAAATACACTCTCTGTTGTGATAAGAAAACACCCTCTCTACTGTTTATGCTCTCACTCTCTCACATAAACAGTGGTTAAAAAGAAAACAAATTTCTCTGTTTTGTTTTTGGCTCTCTCTAAAAGCCATATTTTTGTATTTTTTACGTTTCTTATTTTAACCTGTCAAAAGTCCCAAATTATCATACATTTGTATTTGATTCTTTTCTTCTTTAAATATTTTGTTATTGTTGTTAATATTTTCATTTGATGTAGAAGCAGCAGCACAAGAAAAAGCTTTTTTTTCTTTTAATAACAATATTCTTTTAATGTTTAACGGTTTGTTGTTGTTGGATATGTATTTATTTATAACCTCTTTTGACAAGTGGTTTTTATTAGTAATTTTTGGCAATACGCTTTGTGTTGTTGCTTTTCCCCATGTACGTATGACGTATATTAACTAACACACACACACTATACGTATTGGGTGTATGGAGGTACACATGTGTGTACAAATGTTTCTGGTTACAAAAGTTTTGTGTGTTAATGGGTAAAAAGTCTTCTTCATTATTTTTATTTTATTTATTTTTTTTTTTTTTGACAAACCTGTACTAAAATATCAAAGAAATTAATGGATTTTTTCATCATTACATTTTTTTTAATGAGGAAGTTAAAGGAGAGAATATTAATGACATTTACATAATGGTTTTATATATTGATTTAAAATTAAATACAATTTTCTTAATTGGAATTTTTCTTTAAATGAAACATTTATTAATAGAGAGTATATCGAGAATATATATTTTATAAAAAGAAAATTTATAGAAAATTTTCTATAATGGCAAAATTTATTGAAAATTTTTCGAAAAATTTTCAATGGCAAATTTTCTATAAAAAGAAAATTTATCTCAAACTCTTTATAAGAAGAAAATTCATTGCAAATTCTATATAAAAAATAAAATTTATCGCGATTTTTCTATAAAACAAAATTTATCGAAAATATTCTATTTTACAAAATAAAATTTATGAAAAAAATTCTATAAAGAAATTTTTTCCAAAAAATTTTCTATAAAAGAATATTTCCATAACATTTTCCATAAAAGAAAATTTCTGAAAATTTTTTTATGAAAGAAAATTTCTGAAAATTTTTCTATAAAAAAAATTGTTGAAAATTTTTCTTAAAAAAAATTTTCTTTGAAAAAATTGTTGGAAATTTTTCTTAAAAAAAATATCTAAAAATGTTTCTATAAAAAAATAGTTGAAAATGTTTCTGTAAAAGAAAATTTCTGAAAATGTTTCTATAAAAGAAAATTTCAGAAAATGTTTCTATAAAAGAAAACTTCTGAAAATGTTTCTATAAAAGAAAACTTCTGAAAATGTTTCTATAAAAGAAAACTTCTGAAAATGTTTCTATAAAAGAAAATTTCTGAAAATGTTTCTATAAAAGAAAATTTCTGAAAATGTTTCTATAAAAGAAAATTTCTGAAAATGTTTCTATAAAAGAAAATTTCTGAAAATGTTTCTATAAAAGAAAATTTCTGAAAATGTTTCTATAAAAGAAAATTTCTGAAAATGTTTCTATAAAAGAAAATTTCTGAAAATGTTTCTATAAAAGAAAATTTCTGAAAATGTTTCTATAAAAGAAAATTTCTGAAAATATTTCTATAAAAGAAAATTTCTGAAAATGTTTCTATAAAAGAAAATTTCAGAAAAATTTTCTATAAAAGAAAATTTCAGAAAAATTTTCTATAAAAGAAAATTTCAGAAAAATTTTCTATAAAAGAAAATTTCAGAAAAATTTTCTATAAAAGAAAATTTCAGAAAAATTTTCTATAAAAGAAAATTTCTGAAAAATTTTCTATAAAAGAAAATTTCAGAAAATTTTCTATAAAAGAAAATTTCAGAAAAATTTTCTATAAAAGAAAATTTCAGAAAAATTTTCTATAAAAGAAAATTTCAGAAAAATTTTCTATAAAAGAAAATTTCTGAAAAATTTTCTATAAAAGAAAATTTCAGAAAAATTTTCTATAAAAGAAAATTTCTGAAAATGTTTCTATAAAAGAAAATTTCAGAAAAATTTTCTATAAAAGAAAATTTCAGAAAAATTTTCTATAAAAGAAAATTTCAGAAAAATTTTCTATAAAAGAAAATTTCAGAAAAATTTTCTATAAAAGAAAATTTCAGAAAAATTTTCTATAAAAGAAAATTTCAGAAAAATTTTCTATAAAAGAAAATTTCAGAAAAATTTTCTATAAAAGAAAATTTCTGAAAAATTTTCTATAAAAGAAAATTTCTGAAAAATTTTCTATAAAAGAAATTTTTGAAAAATTTTCTATAAAAGAAATTTTTTGAAAAATTTTCTATAAAAGAAAAGTTATCGAAAATTTCAATAAAAAAATTACTTAAGAATACAAGAACGCTTCCTCTTAGAATCGGATAAAGTCAAAAACAATAAAAGTAAAACACGTAAAAACAAAAAGTGCATTTCCAAAACAGCTGATTTACAATTGGATTTTTCTACTACCTATTTAAATGAAAAAACAAAAACAAGTTGTTGTTGTTGTAAAACCTCAATACTTACGTATAGCGAACAAAACAAACACAATAAATTCCAACAGATACAAAAGTCAAAACAACCAAGATTAACTAAATTCTGTGTGTAATTTACTCTCTTTTTACTAACAAATAAACGAGAGAGTGAATGAGCAACAAACAAGTAAAAATCAGTGGGATTACTAGGCAATGACGAACTTTAAGAACCTTCCATTTCCATCGAAACATTAAATGAGATGCAAATAATACAATTTTTTATATTTACCTATAATATATCTAAGTAGCCCTATAATGTAGGTGAGTCAACGCAATGTCAGCAGAATATTCTTGTCCTATCACGAGTGATAGGGAATCACGATGTTGGGTGATAATGACTTATAAACATACACCCATAAATATTCTAACATTCTCAACAATTTGGAGGAAAAAAGATGTAAGTCTTACAAACCTAAGCAAAAACCCAAATTACTTAACACTCTTTTGTAGAGTACAACATAAAACCAATAAAAGCAGACAGAGAGAAAGAGAAAAGGGGCTAAGTGAAAAAAACCATTTAGACAACCTGTTTTAGGCAACATGTTGCTAACATTTTATGTACGTCTAACTATAAATGTTTATATACATAAGAAATGCATTAAGCATTCTATATACATTTGTTGCTGTTTGTTGTTGAATGAAAGTAAGAAGGAACTAGTTAAATGCAACATTCAAGCAACAATATTATTATAGTTTACACTTTCTTTATCTCTAAAAATGTAAAGAGTTCGTAATGTTTTCTTTTCTCTCAAGATATTGTTGATCTCTTCTACTTTATATTGTACGTAAGTATGTATGTCTTTCTGTTTAAACACTGATAGCAATTGAATGACATTTGATATTATGGTGTTATTTTCAACAATAATTGTTAAACATTACGAATTAGTCATTGTTTATTTAGATGAGGAGGATGATAATGATGGTGATTATCATTGTCTATGACAGGAATTTCATTTAGTAAATCATGAATATTTATTTGTGATAATTAAAAATATTTATATTGTTATCACAGCTATTAAATAAATATTTTATTGTTTATTTTATTCGATAAGATTGACGCAATTTATATATAATTAGTGCAAATATTTAGTAACATTTCTATAGAAATGGGAATTTTGTAATCAATATAATATTGCTAATAATGTGACTAATGTGATTAAGCTTTGTCCTACAAAATAATTACTAACATTTAATCCAACATTTTGAGCAGTAAGCTGAACAAGTTCTTTAATGTTAATTCAGAAACTATTAGTTCTATTTCTGATATAAAGTATATCAAACATAAAACTAGAAAATACATGTCTAGAAAATCCAAGAAGCTTAGAGAGAACAGTTTCCATTTCCCTTAAGTTTAAGCTCTAAGTATCGAAACCTGAAATCTGAATACTCTGTTAAAGAAACCATTTTTGTCTGGTAAAGAAAAGGGTGTAAGTAAAAAATTAGGGTGTCCTCGTTTCAGTGGACATGAAATAAGGTATTGATATTCTCACCGAAAATGAACCTTTCGTTCATTCTAAGACATCGCACTAAATTTTTCTCCTTTTCAAGATTTGATAAGTCAAAGGATAAAAAAATCATGTAGGGTAGAAGGGGGACCAAGCCACTTTTTTTTTGAGGCGGCCTGAAATTAAAACTACAATACATATTCTTAATTTTTTTCTTAGTTCGGATACTTAGATATGTTGGCTTTAATTTTATTCCTTTCAATCTTTCCTAAGTCATCCTCATGTACATATTTTGTTAACTTTTCCGCACTAACCAGAAACGGCGATACCGCCCCATCCTTGAGGTAAATGCGCCAAGGGGATGGTGCAGATTTGTCATTAGTAAAATAAAAGAAAAAATTACAAAAATAAAAACTTATTTTGCTTATTTATACTTTAATTCATTAAACAAAGTATAATAAACCAGATATTTATTGTTTATTTCACAAA